GAGTTCATAGAACTCATCTGAAATTTCTTCGTCAATCCTGCCCCCACAGATTCCTGTCCAGTGTCTACTTAATCACCTCTTCTAAATGGTATATACCTTCCTCGACAGCCCAAAGCTACCTTCATCGCGGTCCCTGATCCACCATTTGGAGTTTCTTATTCCAGTTCCTCAAATTTTCTTGAGAGTCCACTGGGCACAAAGCATCCTGATTTCTAGGTGATGGATGCTCTTCCCTGATGTTTCCTGCATACCACATCAGATGAGCCTTTTCCTCCCAGGTCTGGCTTCTGGCCAGCCTCCCAAGCAGCAACCTCAGTGAAAGCAGGCCTCGGCGGGGGCAGAGCTGAGACTGGGTGCCTCCCTGCTTTCCACTGACAGTTCCAAAAAAATGTGACTTTTTAAGAGCACTACCCACTTGGTATGCCCTTGGCTACAGCCCAGTCTTTTAAAGTTGGGGAAAACAATGGAATCTTTTCAGGGCTCTAATGTATAAATTAGCACTCAGAGTGCTGGGAAAGCTGGACTGCCGGAAGTTTTAGGATCTTTTTTAAGCTTTTCGTTTTCTTGGAAACGCAACAATTTGGGAATATTGCATCAAAAGCAACAAGAACGAATTACTTATTTCTGACAATGTTCAGCACTTCCTAGCCCCTCACTAAATAACTACCACCCAGCCCGCCAGTGGATTTAACACCAGTTGTCACAATGGCTATTGTTTGACCGTTCAGGATGATTAAGGAATAGGAGATGGGTGTACACCATTGGGGTGAAGAAGGCTTCTGCCTTCTCTCTTCCTATTGGGTTGCACCTGGAACTTTTCCTTTGCTGCCCACTTTCTCGTTGGGCGAGTTTTATGTTTGGTGAATGGTTGGAGATACAGCCTGGTCCATTGCCCCAAGTCAACTACCATTAATTTCCTTTGGGGATCAAGTTCAAGAATGTCTTCTGGGTTTAATTAAAAAAAAAAAAAAGGAGGGGTCCTTTTCAAAATCTCTGAAGCAAAAGGAAGGAAACCTCAAACACATTTAGAATAATAGATGTTTGTTTTCAGTGACACCCTGCCAGTTATTTTCTGGGTGGGCTGTAAGAAAACGACAGTATGGATGAGCAAAGTAAATCAAACCTCTTGCTCTTTAGAAGGAGCCTTTATAAAATTACGGACTAGATCTGGGCATGGGTCCAGAGCAAACATTTGGGATTGCTCAGGAGCAGGACTTCTGTAAGGAGGCCTCCTGCTTCCCTGCTACTCCTGAGAGCATCGAAATTGACTTTATTATCAATTTCATTCTCACTGATTTGTAAGCAGCCTCTAAAGGGGCAGAGGGCTAGCTACTGGGACCCTGCTCAAGGAGCCCACAATCTAGTGAGAAAAGAAACAAACACAATTAACTACAGGTTATGACATCTTTTTAAATAGTATGTCATTAGCTGGGAAACTTCCCAAAGGCAAGCACTGTGGAGTGAGTGTGTGTATGTATCTGTCTGTCTCTGACACATGACCAGGACATGCAAAGTGTAGGAGCTCCAGAAATGGAAAATTGAATTCTCTACATGTGTGGAATCCAGAATCATTTCTTTAGAGAAAACTACACAGAGAGACTATGGACTTCCGAACCTCCACTCTTAAAGACCTATTGTCCAGGCAAACAGGAAATACACAGATAGCAGAATAAAATGATTCGATAAAAAATGAGTGAACAATGAGGTAGTTACATCCTGTGGAGCTCACAGTGAGAGAGCAGAGCTGGAGGGGCATGAAGTAGAAATTGGGATGGACCCACACACGAGAGAAACACAAGAGTGCGAAGAGAAAGAGAAGTCACGTCTGGGTCTGATCAGACCTGTTTAGCAGGACGCATATTTTCCCTCTGCATATGGAATGTGCTTTTCTCTGTATTCGACTGTTTCTCGCTCAGAGGCGGCCCCTTTTGGGCCCCTTTCCCGGCCCTTCCCAGCTCTCCTGTCCTCCTACCCAGCTTGAGCTACCAGGTTTGCAACCCAGACTTGGGTGATCACACATGCCAAAAGGATTACTTGATTCATTCATTCCGTCATTTAGCAAACACTCATTTAGTGTTTCTGGATAGAACAGAATGATTCACAGTTCCTATCCCAGGTAGAGAGACAGGTGAACAAATAAATGAGTGTTTCAGATGCAGGAGGAGGTTGCCTGGGGCACAGAGAGGACCCTGTTGCCCCTTAGCCCAGGCCCTCCAGTGAAAAGTGTACCCAAGCTAGAAGCAAGAGTCCCACCCCCTGACTGCATGAGGAGGTAAGAGGGGGTGGAGCATGAGGATGGGGGATGGAAACCCCAGGTTCAAGTCCCTGAACTGCTGCTTTAGCAACCAACGGTCAGTGCTGCAGTCAGCCAGCCCCACCCTGCAGTCCGCCCCGCCCTGCAGTCGCCCCGCCCAAGATGGGAGGGCTGGCAGCGCTGACTCAGTGGGGCAACCGCTGCTCTTGGAAAGAGCTGCAAGACCCATCCGCTACCAAGAGAACAGCTTTAATCATAACATGTCGCCCTTCCCCTCATTCTTACTGTGAAAGCAATGCGCTGGCTCTTCCTTCAAAACAGAGTTAACTGGTCTGAAGGCCTGGTCAGTGCCCTCTGGGGCCCAGGTTACTGAGGAGACAGCAGCCATCTCATCCGGTTTCCAAAGCCATTTTTACCTTCAGGACCTTACACTCCTGGCTAGTCGCTGCTCTTCATTCTTATGGCAAATGCAAGACAAATAGTCAGCCGGCTGCTGTATTTACCACCCATGTGCTGAACACACAGGAGAGAAAGAGAAGGGGGAGGGGTCCAGTGGGGGAGGGATGTGGCTTCAGAGAGGAATGCTCTGCTCTGTTCGTTCCTTCGTGAGGAGCACAGAAGAGGAGGGGGTGGGATTGGGGCCTGAAACCTCAGTGCTGACTAAGGGCAGACTGTCCTCACCCTCTTGAGGAAGATATTCAAGGGTGGCCAAAATGTCCTTAGCTTCCCACCCGTTTCTCTCAGAAGTTCCTAAATTCACCTGGTTCCTAGTTTAGGGCCTTACTCTGGCTTTGCAGGCCCTTTCCTTCTGCTCTGCCCCGTGAGGAAAGGGAACCGGGTGTCCCACAGCCTGTTCCAATTTCTGGGATCTTTGGGAATTCGTCACGAAGGGCTCTGTGCTCTACCCTCTGTACTCTACTGTTTCTGAGCTTGGGCACAGGTATTTTTAAACCTTTCCTGAGTTATTTCAGAACTGGAATGGGATCCCACATCCTTCTCCCATAGGTGACTCACTCAGTTGAGTCTGAAGTTGCTGGCCTTCAAGAACTAAGCCAGCCCACGGCCATCGGAAACCGTACGGGAGATGGGGACGAGCCAGACCCAACTGCGTAGGAATAGAGGGGAAAGGGTGTGTTTGGTCCCGTGGAATTCATCTCACAGCGGACCTTGAGCATTAATTTGCTGCTCTCTCCAAGAGAACCGCCTTGCAGATGAATCATGCCCCACTCTGGTTTATAGCACTCGTTACAGCAGCACATTCTTTGGCATGCTGGTTCACGTACTTTTCTGGGTATTCAGGGGTAGAATTTACTATTCTTAAGTGTAATTGCTCAATCATCATGTTCACCAACCCCACCTTCTCCTCTGTAAAAGATAGCATTTAGGGGTCTGTTTTGAAAACACACCTGTCAGCAGCAGAAACCAGACCAAAACACCTTTCTCAGGTTCCTATTGGCCACTCTCTAGCAAGGGAAGGTGCGAGCCTCTCCTTCAACTTGTGCGCAGAACCTGTTCTTGTGTTTTGTTGTTGCTGTTTTAGGGAACGGTATGTAACAGCCTCCATTCAAGTTCACCTGTGTCCTATCCAGTAGTGACGTTAGGTGATGTTAGCCAGAGCTGCTCTATTCTGGCCAAAGCATTCCTTCCAATGAAGTCAAAATCCATTGAGCTTCTATCAAGTACTAAACACTGGGTCTTAATGAGACATGTACCCCCCAGATCATTATACCTGAATATAATCTGACATGTTTTCTTTCTTTTAAACTCTTCATGATGAAAGCTCTTGCTCTCCCACTGCACCCCAGACTGTGAAAGTAACTTTTCTGTTCTTGCTGCCCAAAATATATCAGGTCCCCAAAGGGGTTAGGATATACTGTTACTTCTTCTCAAGGAACTAGATAATGAACTTTGGGTAGCTATTATTCAGGTAGGACAACTGCATTTACTACCAAAAGATGCAAATAAATGTCTTCATTACAATCACTAACAAGTTCAAAGCTTTAGTAGAGAATACATACCCAGCAGGCCAAATTCATTCGTAAGCAGATTTCTAAGCTTTAGGATTAGACTGAACCAGGTTACCAGTTGTGCTTGGAGGGCTGAAGTTGCCCTACTCACCAGGCTTGACTGTGTGGGTTGTTGGTATGCCACCATATCTGAGAGTCCCATTTACCAGCGCCAAGAGAAATGATGAAACATATATTCTTTCAATAGGTGCTTTGTCCATTAAGAAGAGGGATACTGATCTCGCCTTTCCAAATGATTAGAGGTCTTACTTTTCACCCCGTGATTTATGCAGAATTCGCGGGTAACTAGATGAATCCCTCATTCAGAGCATCAATACCTGTGGTGCCTATTTCCATCAGCAGGAGGCCCCAAACCAGGGGTGAATTGGTTCTTAGACTTACTGAATTTTGCAGCTGGAAAGAATCAAGTGAATGATCTAATCACACTCCTTCCAATTATTCTCAAAAGATTGGCAATACTTACAGCTTAAAAGTTAATGTAGCCCTGGCTGGTGTTGCTCAGTTGGTTGGGCGTCATCCCGTGCACCAAAGGGTTGCTGGTTCAATTCCCAGTCTGGGCACATGCCCAGGTTGTGGGCTCGCTCCCCTGTGTGTGGGGGGGGGGGGGGGGGGGAGTAAAAGGGGGGGTGTGCAGAAGGCAGTCAATCTATCTGTCTCTCTCACATCGATATTTCTCTCCCTCTCCCTTCCTCTCTCTCTAAAAATCTATAAAAGAAAACTTTTTTTAAAAAGAAGTTAGTGTAAACTCTGTTTCTTTACATCCTTTAATATGTTTCAACAGACCTCCCCAAAATGCCGTCTCAAATGGAACACGCCATGGAAACCATGATGTTCACGTTTCATAAGTTTGCTGGGGATAAAGGCTACTTAACAAAGGAGGACCTAAGAGTACTCATGGAAAAGGAGTTCCCTGGATTTTTGGAAGTAAGTATTGAAAGGCTCAGAAAGAACCAGACATGAAGTTCTAGGCCCTGGTTCCTTTCCCTTCTTCTTTCCACCCCTTCCCTGTGGAGGTCCCTATTAGAAAGGTGTTTTCACTCACTTATTTATTGAACATTATTGAGTGTCTACTGTTCATAAGCTACTGTAGGGGAAACAAGGTAAAGAAGACACAGCCCCTGCCCTCCAGGAGCTTACAATGGGAAGTGAAATAAGACTGCACACAAATAACTATAATACGAGGTGTTTGCTAGAAAGAGTCATCTGCATCCATTGAGTTGCAGGATAGCCTTTCACCAGGATCACCAGCAAGGCTACCCGGTTGCCCTCAGGTCCATAAACCTGGCGTTGGAGATGGCACCTGGTCACATTCGCTTTGAGCAACCTGAATCACCCTTCTTAAATCCCTTCAGATAAAGGCTTTGAAAACTTTTTCCCAATTCTAAACTCAAGAAACGGTGCCACGCATCTGCCGAGAGCCAAGCATCACTCCAGAAATCATTGCTTTTCATACTGAAAATGCTCTGAGAACACAGGAGCACAGCTTGAGTTTATATCTCACCTTCGTCAGACTGAGGGATCGTGCAGACTGGAAGAGGACTCTGCCATCAGCTCAGATGCATCACTCAGGGCATTAGGCCATGAGGCACAGTTGTCCTGTTACATTGCGGGCCCTCAAGAGAGTTGCTGCATTTCACTGAAGGTGAAACATTGCTTGACAGAATATTAGATGAAAATGCAAGTCCTTTCCCTGCCACAACTGGAGTCACTTGAAAGGATCGATACTGAGCGCGGTGTGGAATAATGCATTAGCCTCTACAAGGCGAAGGGAGATGATAGTAAAAGGCCTCTTGTCCTCGGCCTGGACAATACCACATTAGTCAAGCCCCTGACTCCTGACCCCGTAAATGCAGGGTTTTGTAGCACACTGTGATTTCCATGTCAATACCAGTTAAATAAACAGATATAAATGGCCTAACTAGTCTCTCAGAGCTTCAGTTACCACAATGCTATCCCTGAATGGGTTAGGATGCACTGTTGCTCTGCTTTTGAACAGTCCTATGCTATACCCCAGGCCAGGAGTTAGTTAACACTGGGCAGGCGGCTTTAGATGGTTGGGCCTCAGTTCCCTCCTCTGTGAAAGGAGAGGGCTGGATGTAATTATCTCCAAGGTCAGTTTCACTTGCAGAGATTCTTCTAGGCAGCCATAAAATGCAAGGGCAAAATATGTCTACCGTAAGCCCGCCCATCACGTGAACAAAGGCATTCTCAGTGCACTAAATACTCATTAGTCGTGTTGTTGCATAAGTTAGAAGTCGGGATAAATATCACATGAGATCCAGACCCTTCCTCCCTAAAGGCTTTCTGGCATGAGACACATCAAGGGTGTATGTAGCACCAAGTACTGAACATGCTGTGTAATTTATGCCAGGCATGAAGTCATAATGCCAGACACACCCACACTCGCTGCATTCACAGAGCATTTGGTTTCTAAAGTTGACTCCTCTGTCATCCAAACTGACTCCTTCTGACCACAGCCAGGAAGCTGGGGGTGGGGCCAGAATTGACTGAAACCCACCGGAAGTAGAGGTGGCTGCGTGGAGCAGGTGTTAGTTGCTTGCTTAGGGTAGGAGTTGGCAGTGCTTGTGTAGGAAATGCTGCCGCTTTGCCTTAGGGATTTTTGAGTGCGATTTGTAAACATCCGGCCCAGGCGAGACACTGAGTGTCCATTGCCCTCTCAGGTATACAATCAGTGCAATTCATACTTTACTGGAACCTTTTACCCTTCTCAGGGGCCTTATTTCCCTCTCTGTTTGATGGCATGGTTGGACTTAGAGGGTCTCTAACATGACTTAGAGGGTCTCTAAAATGATCCTATAGGAGAGAACACAAGTTCTTATGTCTAACCATCATCACTCCAAAAAGGAGTGATCAAGCCAGTCACCATGGAAGCAAAGTGGAAGAAAAAGCAAAAAGGATCTTGCCTGCCCACCTCAGTTCCACACATTCATGGCAGACACTGAGAGTCATGGGGAGTTTATGACTCCGTCACACATATTCCTTTTGAAGGGATCCAATGAAGAATATAGGATGGCTTAGATTTACCAACTCATTAAGAATGGAAGCCATGTTAGAGACCCTCTAAGTCCAACCTCCTCCATTCATAGTTGATACGTGAAGGCTCGCTGAGAGTGACTTCCTCAAGGTTACGTGGCTAATAGGATATGAAGCCACACAAGCTTGGCCCACCCTCTGCTGAGAAATGAGGGCAATCTACCTATCTCCTCCAAACCTAACACACCATATGACATCATTAGCACCTCCTTAAAATCCATAGAACAGTGATCTGAAACTTACTCCCTAAATAATCTTATGAGATCTTTTCCTTAGAGTTTCATATTTAAAGGACTTGGCTATCAGGAATAAGAGTTTGTTAGGAGAATGTAAGTTTAAACTACAAAATGGGGGAGTTTCAGGTGGTTCTTAGGCAGAATCTCATGATTTTAAAAATTGTTAGAATAATTGAACTGGAAGCAAAACAAGTCAGAAAGCCATGCTGGTTCTAATTGGCAAGAGCAGTGGATTGAGAATTAGGAGGCTTGGGTCTACCTTCTCTTGGCACAGAATAAGCCATTTCTAAGGTCCCTATCATTATATGAAAAAAAAAAAAATGCCATGGGAACCTCTTTCCTAGTTTAAAGTAAATTTAAACAATTTACTGAAATGCTCCCTCAAGACAGCAAAATCCATTTAGATGATCTCCAAAGATCACTTATAACCTAAAACAAGAATTCTGATCATTGAGAGATTATATGCATGGTGGTCAGCAGTCCAAATCAAAGAAGGTAGTCATTGCAGACACTGACTGGTCTTTCTTACCTTTGTTTTTGTTTCTGTTTTTGTTTTTCAGAATCAAAAAGACCCTCTGGCTGTAGACAAGATAATGAAGGACCTGGACCAGTGCCGAGACGGCAGAGTTGGCTTCCAGAGCTTCTTTTCGCTAATTGCTGGGCTCACCATCGCATGCAATGACTATTTCGTAGTACACATGAAGCAGAAGGGAAGGAAGTGAGCAGCTACTTTGCCCTGATAGGAGTTCTCCCAATGGGTCCCTTAAGGAATATGTGCCCCACAGCTTCCCTCTGTATAAGAATTTCATGAGCAGATTGGGACTCTTAAAAAAATGTACAAATAAAATCCCACCCCCATTGAACAAGGGAAAGAAAAGCCAATAAAGCCAGATAAGCTTTTGATTTTTATATTGCTTGTATCCTCTTGCCCCCCAATAAACAAGTTTTTTTTTAGTTCCTAATTTGAGGCAGAATGTTTACGTCTTCAGGAATGCTTGTTCCCTACTTCATTTCAAAGAAAACAAAACAAGCCCGGCTGGTGTGGCTCAGTGGTTGAGCATTGACCCATGAACCAGGAAGTCACAGTTCTCAATTTCTGGTTAGGGCACATGCCCGGGTTGTGGGCTCAATCCCCAGTAGGGGGCTTGCAGGAGGCAGCTGATCAATGATTCTCTCTCATCATTGATGTTGCTACCTCTCTCTTCTCTCCCTTCCTCTCTCTCTGAAATCAATAACAACATATTTTTTTAAAAAAACACCGGAATGCCCTTGGGCAGCCAGCACACTGCAAAGCTCTTGCCATAGAACCACCAAAGTGGGAGAACACTACCCACCCGGCTTGGAGTCTAACTTCTCTCAGTGATCTGCCTTTGTAGCTATGTCTAGACCAGTGATGGTGAACCTATGACAGGCGTGTCAGAGGTAACACGTGAACTCATTTTTTTGGTTGATTTTTCTTTGTTAAATGGCATTTAAATATATAAAATAAACATAAAAAATATAAATCTTCGTTTTACTATGGTTGCAAATATCAAAAAATTTCTATACGTGACACGGCACCGAAGTTAAGTTAGGGTTTTTCAAAATTCTGACACGCCGAGCTCAAAAGGTTCGCCATCACTGGTCTAGATGAAGGACCAAAACTCCAAGGATGAAGAGAAGGCACTTCAGGAGTATATTCTAATTTTACAGTTATTGAGCACAGCCTTACCCTGGTACATCCATGCCTTTCCAACCAGCACTTTGGATGCCTGAGATGTCTGAAACCATTTTTCAGAGCAAAGTGTCAGTAAACTCTAGGGTGAAAATAAGTCCATAAGGCAACTAAAGAAACAAAGCGTCTAGTGTGATGCCTCAATAACATATGTTGACATTTATTGAGTTGTCATGAAATGTGAGGAAATAGACTAGCATGACTTAGATCATGGGGTAGTGCTTTTTTTGTTGAAGTGCCAGGACTGATGTCTTGATAAAGAGCAAACTTTCTCCCAGGCCTTTCTGTGCCTGTCTACAAGCTTCAGCATATCTGCATTATGTGCTAGGTGCTTATTAATATTACAGTACTCTTTTTATAGAGAGGATGTATGAATTGGCACATGAAATTGTTCCAGTAAAATAGGTCAATGAAGATGGAAATATTTATTTTTATGATTGGACACATCAACATAATTCTTGGGAAAAGTCCAGCATAAGGTCATCTACCATCACAGGGGAAAGCATGCAAAAGGGAACAGGATAGTCCAAAACTAGCTTTGGGGAAAATACATCCAATAAAATTAAGGTTAAAGATAAAATTCCAACCATTTAATTTTGCCCATTATATGAACAAAACAACTCAGCTTTGCAGTCTATGGGATTCTATTAACAGGTTTATAATGGAGAGGAATTTATTACAAGATATTAAGTGGAAGAGGGAAGTTGGCTAGCTAAAGACACTAAGTCCACAATCAACTACCAAATCCATGCCATAGAACTGAGCTGTTGAGGGAGCTGCTGGCTCAGGAAGCT